TCATGGTGCCTGCTCTGGGTGAGGGCACATCTGACCTCCACTTGGAGGTGACAGCCTCAGCTGGTTTCTGTTACCGTCAGACCTTAGGACTTCTGTTGCCTGGTCTCACCTCCTCTCTGGCCAGCCAGTCACCCTCAGCCAGCTCTCAGACCACCTCTGGAGGCCTGTTAATAGTGGAGGCAGCCACCAGATTGCTGCACGGATCACTCCAGGCTCAGCTCAGCCCCCCCACTGCCTCGTGCTGTCCTTTCTCTTCTCCCCAGTGACTAGGCACATGCCTTGTCCACCAAGCACACTATAACCTGTGCTAAGTGAGGAAAGGGCCAGACTCTCCTGTGCCTGAGGCTGGTCACGGAGACGGAGACTCACTCAGTAAGGCCTATGGATTCCTACTGACTGGGTCCCAGAGACTGGAGACATTGGCACTTTGGAAACGTTGGCAGAGATTATGCTAGACCTGGGCTGGGCCCCACGCACCAGCTATCTGACCTCAAGCAAATTACTTTCTTTCTCCTAGCCTTGATTTTCTGTGTTTATAAAATAGTGGGAGCAATACTGTTGGCTACCTCACATTTTATTGCAAATACTAAATCAACGAACTTGTATGAAGGGCCTGCCAGCACACAGTAGGAGCTCAATGAATGTGGCCGCCCTGCATTTTAGGACACTGCTTCAGAGGCAGCTTAATTTCAGGCCTGGTGGAAACCGTATGAGCCTGGAGTGGATCCAGGGTCCAGCCTAGCTGCCTGGTTGGGTGGCCCTAGCAGTCCTGCACTTTCTCACCCACCAAGGCAGCAGCAAGGCCAGTTATCTCACAGGATGGCCGAGAGAACCTGTGAATCTTCTCCTCCGAGCACTTCCCACAGTTCGCCAGGAGCCATGTCCGGCAGAGATTTTGTCCTTTGGTCCACTATGTTCCCACCCAGAGCAATGCCTGGTGCACAGCAAGTGCTCAGTATTTCTAACATGAACAAATGTGAGGTATGAAGCAAAGGACCCTCCCAGAGGGTGAAATCAACAAAGATGGATTTCTTCTTCCTGCCCCCACTCCTCACCCCCTCCCTGCGTCCCCCCCCAAATTCAGTAATTCCTGGAACAGCTAGTAACAGAACTAACTCCTGTGTGGGAAACCTCTGTGGATTCCCCCTCCTGCCCCCTGCCCAGCCCAGACAGCTCAGGGTCCACTGTGTGCTTTCTGACTCACTCCAATGTCTGGCACTGAACTGAACTGAACTGAACTGGCTGGCTCTTTGCAGAATTGGGGTTGCAGGGTAAACCCTGGTTGGAAATGCGGCGAGGCAGCTTGTCTCGCTGCCTCACTGTCTGGCAAGTATTTGATGATTGGCCTATAAGCCACCTTCATCTTTGTTCACTGTCTCCATGGCCAGGGAGGGAGTTGACAATGACCCTTTCGCTTGCCCTAGCAGCCTGTTCTCATGGTTACTTGGCTACAAGGCTGGGGTGGATGGCTGGGCACCACTGGGATGGAGAATGTCGATTTCCAGGTGCAGATGGGTTGGTCCAGGCCAGGGACTTGTTGGGAGTTAGCCAGTGATTCTGTGTCAAGCTGCCCTGGAAACACAGTCATCTCAGGGCAGCGTCACATCTCAGCATGCCCCACCCCTCAGCTCTGCCAGCACAAAGCAGCCTGCCCTAGGGGATAACGGGCCCCAGAAGGGCCCAGACAGTCCTCAGGATGTCCTAGGCAGGTCCCTCACCTATCTGTTCCCAGAGTCTACAGCAGGAGCCCCTAACCTCTTCTGAGTGTGGACCCTGTTGAGAATGAAAGCTATGGACCCTTTTATCAGAAACACACTGTACACAAAATCTTGCATTGTGTCAGAGGGTTTGTACGTCTCTAAGGGCCCATTAATTGAACCCCGTAGACCTGAGTTGAGAAACCTTGCCTCCACTCTCTCCAGGGTGATTGACCCTGGGGGTGTAGTGGGGGGAGGCCCAGACAAACAGGTCCCGAGAAAAGGGGCCCACCTGTTTGAAGTCCACTCCCACCTGCCCCTGCCTCTCCACTGCCAGGACTCTTCCCTGTCCGGCTCCTGCTGGGGCCATGGTCAAGGAAGGCTGTGTCCAGGCACAGGCCCCAGCAGAGTCCCTGTAGAAACGGAAGCTCAACTGAGGCCACTGGGCCTGAGCGGGCAGGCTCACTTGGAGGGAACTAATAACATGGACAGAAAGGGAGAAAAGCCACCCCGCCCCCTGCACCTCTCCTCGCTCACCTCACTCACCCAGTCAGCAGGCAGCCACCACTCACAGCAGCAGCAACCTGAGGTCCATGGAAACAGCTTACTGCTTCCTCTGCCTCCCACCCTCTGTCTCGGGGCCACCACACTTTCCCCTCCTCAACCCTGCCACCTGGTGGAGCTTTCGGCTTCCCCTCTCACAGGGTACTGGAGACAGCCCGGGCCCTGTATCTTATACCCACAAAGAGATACTTTTTTCTTCAGGGTCTGGGGTACAAGCGGGGTTCCATGAGTTTAATTCAGATCTGGGCAAGCTGGGATTTGGGGAACAAGCTCCTGTTCCCTGAAAAGGAGCCAGAATTCCAATTTGGTGGGAGGGAAAGTGGGGCAGAGCCAGAGTGGACATGACTGATGACCCGGAACAAACCTGCCTTTATACTGTAGTAGTCAAATGCCTCGCATCCCTTCAGCCTTCCTCTGTGGCAGATCCCTGCCACGAGGGGGCGCTGTCTTTTGAGTGTCCATGGCCCACAACAAAGGAAATGTCTGCTCCTGCTGCAGTGGGAGTGGGAACCTCCTTTCCAGTGAGTTTTGAGCCTTTTCTAGTATATTAGTTTCCTGTTGCAACAAATTACCACAGACTTAGTGGCTTAAAACAACACAAATTTATTCTTACAGTTCGGATGGTCATAATTCTAAAATAGTCTGACTGGGCTAAAGCCAAGGTGCCAACAGGGCTGGTTCCTTCTGGCAGTTGTGAGGGGAGAACGCCTTCCTTGCCTTTTCTAGCTTTGGGAGGCCACCTGCATTCCTTGGCTTGTGACCCCTCCTCACATGACTCCAGCTTTTGCTTCCATCACCGTATTCCCTACTTCCCCTCTGACCGCCTCCCTCTCAGGGTCCCTGTGATCACATCAGGCCCACCTGGACTATCAGGATAAGCGCCTGTCTAAAGATCCTTGACTTACAGCATCTGCACAGTCCCTTTTGCCATAAGAGGTCACGCTCACAGGTTCCTGGGATTAGAACATGAACATCTTGGGGGCCACTATTCAGCCTACTCCAACTAGGCGACAGAATTGCTATGCCCTCCTGGTGCTTCAGTGATTGGGAGAAAAAGGGTTGGGGTTTTCTGCTCTGGGTTCAGTAGGGCCCTTCCTAACCTTGTATTTCTAGGGTCTAGGCTTTACCAACCCTTTCCTTTCAACCAGAGAAACTCACAGTAGTGTTCCCTTGAAAGTCAGGTGCCAAGTCTAAATCTAAGTGCTGGTGAGAGGGGTAGGGCCAGCCAAGAAGCCCCTAGGCCCAAGAGCACCTGCCCTAAGCCCGTACCCTGCTGGCTGCAACAAGTCCATGACTGGGAAGGGACACAAAGAAGAGTGTGGGGCCTGCTGAGGGTGCCAGGGAGACCACGGGATGAGTAAGCCCTGCTAGGACGGTGCACGTCGGCTGGAGCTGAGGTGTGGCTGCAGAAGCTGGGGGCTGTGGTCCCAGCCCACAGAGATGATGGAGACCATGGCTGGGAGAGGCTCTGAGGTCGGTGAGAGAGCATCTCTGGCCCACAGCATCTGGGGGTGAGGATGAGGGCCTCCCAGACAAGTGCAGCTCCAAAGTCCCAGGTGTCAGGCTTTTCTTTGTAATGAGAGCACGTGGGCAG